AGGTGAATAAGAGGGAATTATATTGTGTGTCAAATTTTTTGACCAGAAAAAAAGATTACTGCTGTTCAAAATAACTTAAACGGTAATTTTTTAAAAAAAAATTAGTAATCAGAGTTCTGAATAAATTTTGTGTTTAGGACAAATTTAGTGATTTAAATAAATGAAAAATTAAGGTCATTTTATGTGAAAATTAAATTGAAGAACTTTCATTTAATAGGGTATCTTGAATTATTGCGCTATTAGAATTTTACAACAAAACAATCAGTTTTTGTTGTTATTCAAATCGTTTTCACGAATCAAACAATATTTTCCAATAAAATTCGGAAAAAAATCATATTTCATTAAGTTTTAAAAACTTCAAGAGATTACATTCGATACAATTGTTACCTTTATAGTTGTTTTACTTTTCCAAATTAACTTATTTGCCAACTATCGGTAGAAAAGTATCTGATATTGCAATTTATTAATGCAGCACTGTTAAAGAAACAGAACTCTATTTTAATAGACCAATGACAACAGCTATTTTCACTTGAAAACAATTTACCCTCACCGTTGCACATACAAGTGTACAAAAGTACATTTTCTAATCTAATTAAATTGTATCGAAGATCAAGTAACAACAGACTGACAGTCGATGGCCATTATGGGTTTTTGAACTCCAGATTATTGTTCGATTGTTATCGAACACAGCTTGCGAATTGGTTTTTGAAATTCACAGCTAGGACTTTTCACTTGCACCACTCCAATCAATTGCATTTGACATTTTGATTTACTGATTAGCAGCAAACTGTTTCCATCGTTTGGTATATATCTTTTCCAAATGCAACCACTTTGAAAATTTAAATCTCGTTATAAAATACTTAAACAAGCTACTTACAACTTTCTACTCTAACACCAATCTCAAAATTACCGATGATTGCCTTGATTAAATACTAAATAGGAAACAGAATTTGAAAATTGGAAAATTCTATCTTTTAACTGTGATGTTAATTTTTACCCTGCAGTCCAGTTCACCAAATTTCTCATCTAACAATATTAACATATTTGAAGATTTGAAACTGAGAACTTACTTTTATGTTGAATAATGATTAAAATTTGCATATTTTGATGAGAAAAACGGCTAAGAGTTCATGTCTATTTTCACAAAAATGACGATTAGATCACCATTTGTTACAATTTGAAGATTATTAGGTTTTGGCAAAACAATGACGTGGAATATTGGTTCTTCCCAGAGTTATTACATAATAAAGATAAGCCATGTTTTATAAAAACCCTTCCTTTATACTCTCAAAGACGTTTTTTCGAATCAGCTTTTAGGGATATAACACCAATCTCAAGAACCTACAAGATTACTAATGATTGCCTTAATTGAACACAATTGAAGGTGAAACAGAACTTGCCACGAAAAAATTCCAGCTCATAGGTGTAATGTGACATTATTTTAACCTGCGGTCAAGTTCACAAGAGTTCTTATCAAACAGTTAGAGATTTCTTAAAGATTTGAAACAATTTATTTTCCTTTACTGGCAATGATAATCAAAATTTGCATAATAGGATGGCAAAGGGGGAAGAACAATTTATATCTATTGTTCATATCAATTGTTCATATTTATTGGATCAACATCTGCTACATTTTCAGGTTTATTAAGTTTTGAAAAATCAATAACGCGAAACATTGTTTCTCCCCCAGAGTTATTACATAGTGAAGATGAGCTATATTGTGGAAAAATTCTTCCCTTCCGCTCTTATAAGTCGTTTTTTGTTTGAATCAGCTTTGATGGACATGCACCATTCTTACTCCTTGGACAGCATATTCCATGCATAATCTAATTTGCATATTTTGCATAATGTGGATGTTTTAGAGAATAGCGAAAACGATCCAGAAGTTTTTGAGGAAACTTTTAATTTTTTTAAAAATATTTCTAGCTGTCTCATTATTGCTTATGTATTTATTTCCTTTTACCATTATTTCGGCAATTATTTCTTCTTAAATATTGAACAAAATTTCTTGATAAAATCATCTGGCTCACTTTTTTTCATTCTCGAAGACAGAACTTGTCGGTCTGGAATTAAATTAGGAAATGGTTTAAATTAAGGATTTTTCTCATTATGCTTGTATTTTTTTCGATTTATTTATTAGCACTTATAATCTGAAAATAAATTTGGAAATACAAAATGAATTTGACACGGTTGTAGAGAAAATAGTCAACTACATAATATACAATTATTCAAAGCTCATACTCTAATTTAACTGTCGTTTTATATTAAATGAATTCTCTTTCCTAGCGCGAGGTTAAAAAAAAGCAATTAAGCAATAAATCAGCCTTAAATAACAGTTGAATCCTGCTCAAAACTTAAATGTATTTACGAACGCATTTAATGAAATTGAACTACTTCTATTTCTTATTTATTTCCTTTTTGCCCTTTCCCATCACTTTACCCTATTAGATTGAGAAAAATATGTTTTTTGTAGTTCATCCCAACAAAATAAACATTACTTCCATTCAGTATCATTTGGCATGAAGCTGTTTTTCGAGGCCAACTCACGATTGCCAATTTCACCACAGAAAAGCAATTCTTTCCGGTGCTCACCACTTTCGAGGGGACGTAAGGTCTTTATCCTCTGTATCGAGTATAAAGCTGAACAGTATTGAAGAATAAACCACTATATGTACTAATGTAATACATAGTACCTATATTGGCATATTTTTCTCTATTAAAACTACACCAATTTCCATAGTATCAGTAGTGCATATTACCAAATTTGTTTAAGCATAATTAGCGTCAAAAATTGTATAGCAACTATTTACGTTTTTTTTAAGCGAAACAGTACATTTTCTCCTTAATTTTGCTTATTAATACTTAACTGAAATGTTTTGTATTGCAGTTGATCTTAAAAATATTCCGTCTGGAAATAATCTGTCATTTACTCTGAAGTGGAGAAGAATCGATAACTTTCTGAAATGTAATCCAATACAAACACAAGACACCATATTTTTTTTAAGAACATGGATAAAAAAATAGCAAATGTTTTGAAGTTGTACAGTTAAAATCACGCATTGAAACTATTATAGAGTAGAAGGCAGTTTTTATTGGTTGCAAAAACGCCTGCCAGTTCAATAATATCATATTACAAGGTTAAATATCACAGCAAATTTTCGTAGAAGTTCACTTATAACGTTTTTCAATTTTCTATGTTTTTATAGCCATTAAATAAACTTTGGTAAAAAAAAAAAAAAAAAAAAAAAAAAAAAAAAAAAAAAAAAAGAGGTTAAAATGATTGATGCTGTATTTTTTAAGTAAATAAACATTAACTTTTTTATGCAGAATGGGTACGTACTTTCTTGATTTTGTACAAATCTAAAAAGTAATTTAATAATTTTTTTTATTAAATTCTAATGTCACTTTTAGTAAGCATCTCAAAACTGTTAATAGCAGTTAGAAATCAATTAACAATAAATAATTGACTTAAACTCTTTATATATTTCTCTTGAAATAAATGCAAAAAAATAGTTAAAAGATAGTTATAATTCCAGGCGTCTTTTTATAAAAAGACTTAAATTGAATTGAACTGCTTAAATAATAGAATGCCATTGAACTACAATGAAATAAAACATATTGTATTCGAGGTGAGCTAAAAAAAGAAGAAGAAAATAATTTAATAAAGTAGTGAAAAAGTCACTGAAGTATATTTGATCTAAATTCAGAACTACTTGTATTAATAAAATAGTAAAAAAATGTTAGATAGTCAAAAAACTATTTGCGGAAATTCAGAGAAAGAAAAGAAAACTAATAGTTATGTATGAATAAATAATATTTATTTCATATAAACTATATACATTTATACACATTACATGAAGCATTATAAAATTTATATTTGTATATACATATCTACAATTAAATCTGTATCAAAATCTCATCAAATTATTCAAAAATCACGGATAAAAATTTTAAACAATCAAATATACAGCTAAATAGATAAAATAACAAAATGTATGTTTTTATTGTTAATTATTGTTATTTGTTTCTCACGGATGGACAAGATAATAATTGTTCTGTCCCTCTATTTAGAATTCGTTTTTCAAGATATTGTGATATTTACGAGAATATAATTATTTTTTTGTTAAGTTTGCGAACCGTTTTTTGAACTATGATTATTTAAGCTTGAGTGAAACATAAAATTCCAGGTAAAATTACATAACTGCAAATAAATATGAAAAGATTTATCTTTTCTTTAAACTTCCTGACATTAAAATTTATTAACACTTATTTAAAACATTGAAGCTTTTGGATTAGGCAACAAGACCACCCTTAAAAAATGATAGATACTAGGTATAATAAATATAATATTAGTGAGAGTAGAGGGTTAACCTTTTTACGCGCAGTATTGCAAGTCTGGCAACACTTATTCTAAAAATATTGCAAAACACTAAATGTGTAAAACAATTTGCTTTTGAAGCTGAATCGTTCTTTTAGAAACTACTATTTTTTAAAGAACATGGAGTTCAAATATATTTGTTTAATGGAAATTTATGATCAATGACCACAGTGGCTAAAATTGTGCCTGTGTGAAATTTTGAGTCAACATTTGTTGCTCCAAAAAGGGAAAAAATAAAACACCTTTTATCGACAAATTTGGATGACGGTGAAAAATATTCAGGATTTTGGATAGAATCATGGCTCATGATTTTTTTCAAGCAACTTTCATATAATTTAATTTAATTTTTCTTTTGTTTTCGATTTATCAAAAAGCACTTACATTGATAATTTTTTTCAATAAAAGCCGCTTTGATGATTCCGCAATCGTTACGCTTAAAAATTGTTTTTTTTTCTTTTGCAGAAATAATTATTCTATTATTTACAAATCATATTTATAGTTATCCGATTTTTATTACAAAAATTTAGATTTATTATTTTTAAATTCGGGAATTGACAAAACGTCAGTTAAAAGAAATTTTCTTAGACCATAAAATATTACGCATATGTCAAAAAATAAAATAATTAGATGAAAAATAAAAAAAAATTAAAAATTAAAAACTTTTCAAAGAAACAATATGTATTTTTTTTCTTGAAACATATAAACTAGATAGACTTTTAGAGTATACATTTTTCTTAAAATTATTTTACATTAATTCCTGCATAGTATATACCTCTCATTTCAAGTAAACGAATGAAGTAGAATAGCTTTTATGTCAAAGTTAAATTTTTCCCGTATAGAGAAATAAAATAAGAGAAGTATTTGGCTAGAAATAACAAGTTTTATGACATAGTATAACTAGTTCTCAAAATACTGTTTTTAATAATAATTGTTTAAAAGATTGGGTTATGTATTGACGCATTACTTGGATCATTGAATGATGCACAATCTCTGTACTCAACATAAGTAAGCTTGCTCTTCTGCATTTGCAACTGTACAGTAAATTATTTTAATGAATCACATGATGGCAATGGAATGTCGAAGGCAAAACATCAATACGAATTTGAGCTCTTTAACAATGTTTGAACTAGTTTTTCTTATTTTTTGGAACTGAAGATTGGTTATTTTTCAAACTGGTGTTGACAACCGTAGACTTTCGCTCCTTTGATCACTCCATTGCTGGGAAGAAAAGAAAATACATGAAATAAATCCGTTGTAACAATGGCTGTTTATTGTTTAAAATTGAATCTCTGTTTCTAATGTAGTTATTGATAAACTGTAAGCACTTTTAAAACTGCTGCATTGTGCACTGTCAAAAAATGTACATTGAAATTCAGCAAAAATGAGTCAAAATAGCTCCAAAACAAATTTTGCCGAATTTAGAAACCCCATACGTCCATTATTGAATATAGTGATATGATCAAAATGCTTAATGATGAAAACAGGATTGGTAAGGCACGGCCAGTAACAAATTCATGGGTTTTTCAAATTCGATTCTATTTGTATCAGAGCTATTTTGTCTCATTTTTTCAGAACTTTGAGAAACCCTGTTTACAATGGGATTATGAAAAAGAAAGAAAGTGAAGTCGGTTACAACACTTAGCAATGCTTATTCGAATCTCGCTCTTACTGTAATTTTTTTTATTCTGCCAAAGTCCACCCCTAACTGTACTGAAAATGTCTGAATTGATTAAATATAGGAAATAATCTCTTTGAATATAGGAATTTTACTTTTAATTCATTTGCAAACTTTCTTTCTAGATTAGCTAGAATACTAGCGTTTTATAAAAAAGATTATCATTTATTTATCATATAATAGAAAATTAAAAGGTAAAAACACCGCTTTATCAAAACACGTGGTTAATATATTATTTTGGGTATAATGGATGCTTTTATTTTAGAGATTTTGCAAAATATAGATACCTTGTCGTTCTTTTCGGTACTTTTTGTCTCGCAGCTAAGCCATTCACAGTTTGTTTCCTATATGGCGCAACTCTCTAAACACGTTGTATACAGGGACTCTGATTTATAATGTTTTTTGCTGTATTATAAAATATGATTATTACAAAATATAAAAATTCGCTTAAAATATTAACTTGATTGAAACTTTTTTTTACATGGAACATTTAAACTACATTGACAGAAATCACTTAACATTCACATAATATTATTTATTTTAAATTTAATAGTTCTTTTACTACTAAAAGATTTTTTATCAGCCATCGTATCCATATTATTAAATTCAAATTTAAAAATAAACTGAAAAGTGGTGAAACGTCCACTACCAAGTTCTGTTTTCTTATTGTATAACATAAGAATAGTTGGTTAAGAATAATTGGTATAACATAGGAATAATCAATCATAACTTAAGAGTTTGGATAAACGGGTTTAGTAGTAAAGCTGATATAATTCATATCAATGTAACAAAATAAAATTTATACACAAAACTAGAACTTAAACGAACTAAAAGTGCATAAGTCTGCCTTTTCTGTGTTTTTTCCTCTATTGGTTGCAAAACTTGTGCTTATACCATGTAAGCGTTAGTCCGACTTTTTCCCATAAATTTCAGCTGATACTTTTCCTGAATTAAAAAAAGAGACATTTTGGGATTATTTCTCTCAGACATCCAACGCTTTGAGCAATATTTTTATTCTTTACATTTAAATTGTTTTGAAGTCAACGAAGCATACATCATTCAAACATTTATAAGAAATCAGAATAATTTATTGTAGTTAATTAAGTCTATTATTAAAAAAAAATTCTAATTGTTTTCTAGATTTCCCGATATATTTCATTATCACTAAAATAATCAACAAATACGCAATATTTGCTAGGGATATGTCGCTATAGCACCATTTTTGAATACAATACTCAAATATTTGTTAGTTTAATTATGAACAATAGTACTATAAATCGTGAAATATATATTGACTAAATTCTAAGAATACCTGCAAAGTTGTAGGAATACTTGATATCAGCGGCGTTTCTATTGTTATCCCATTATCTTCTACTATATCTCCGTCTATCTCTTGTAAAAGACGTAGTTTCTTTGGAGTCTGAAAATTATTAATTACGTTTCATTAAAGACTAAATATCCATCAACAGTAATGCGAAATAAAAATCTATATGATTTAAAGCATTTATTAAAAATGAATCGATCGAGATCCCAAAAAATGTCTTCAGTTTGAAACTTGAAAGTTTACTTTAAATATGAAAATATAAAATTAATGTTGTCATGTTAGTTAGTTATTATTTCTAATGCAAGAGCCATATTAGGCTATATCTTACTTTTCACTTGATAATGTCAAACGAAATGTAGAGATTATATGTTTGTTAATGTTATCAAATTCGAATTTATTAAACTAATATATTGTAATCATAAAATGCTTTAATTTATCCTAATTGGATGATATGAGTTACAAAAAAATGGAAGGAATAAAATTAATACAATATATTAAATGATTGTAATAATTGATAGAATTCAGTCTCTACTGTAAAAAAATCATAAATTTTAATATCACAAAGGACAGAAAAAAAGCTCCTGATAGCTATGAGAGATGCTAGAAATCAATCCGTGGAAGTTTTGTTGTCACTTTCACATCACGTGGATAAACTGTACGCATATGGTAATGTCTAACTAATGATGGATCTTAAAATATTAAATAAATTGCTTGATATAGCGTATTATTTGCCTTCGTATCTTTTGTTCATTTTTGCTCATTTTTTTACTTCTGCGAAAAAACAATCCGTTATATGATATTTCACTAGATTGTTCTGTCTCATATTGCTTTTTTTTAATAAATATTCATCAATTAAAATATCCTTTACTAAAGGATAATGTCAATTTTACATGAGGGTCAAATTAGCCCCAATCATGGTTTCAGGTATTTTAAGAATCTGACTGTTTTAGTGTAAAAATAAACTTACTGATATAAGCTCTGAATCATCTGAATATGTGACACCTTGATATTCACTATACTTTCGTAAACTTTTATCACTTAAAACTGTGGACAAATTTCCGTCATCATCTAACTCACACGATTTAATTTTATCCTCAGATCTATCTGTGGAAGACAAAAAGGATTAACACAATCAAGTAATAAAATCTTTTCCATTTGAAAAGCAATAATTAAATATCGAATAGCATTTATTTTAAAATTCATTTTCAGTTCCATTCACATCACAATATCATAATTGTTTTTAATCTATTTTCTATGTTGATTAATTTTAAATGAGATACGTAGATATAAATGCATTCTATTCTTAGTTTATTAAATTAAAAATAAATAAAAATGGAAGGAAAAACAAAAAAGAAATCTTTATAATTGTCTAAATGAAAAATGTACGATCTTCTGAAGATCTGATTGAATTAATTATTAATCTTAGTGTCAAAAGAATTATGTCGGAAGTCCAAATGTATGAATGGTTAGCAATAACGAGAATACATTATTCAACAAATAAAACGCCTTCATGTTTAAAAGAATTTATTATGCAATATATATGTATAATAAATAATGGAGAATAAATAATTGAACAATAAATATTGAGAAAATTCAACAATTTGTGTCCCACTCAATGCATGTAAATAATTAATGTTTTGTTAATAAAAATATTTTGTAAGCATTTATGCCTGAAATATCTTTACACTGAAATTGCAAATGCAAAAAATGTTTTTTTTTTTAAATTTTAAAAAACTATTTATATAATTTGCGCTTCTGATTGCACCTGATTTAAAATTGATCAACTTAGAACGTGACAAGCCAATGAATAAATTAAAGCTTTTAATGCGAAAATGAATAATTAATATTCAGTAATAAGATTGGCATTTTTATAATCGACAAAAAAATATTTTTTCTCCTATTTACCTTGTAAAAAGCTCTTTTCTGGAATAATATCTGGGCCTTGGTTATTTGGTATGCATGACTCTTTGCAGTCTTTCATCAAATAAGTGTCACATCTAAAAATAGCAAAGGCAAGCATTAATAATTAAAAAAAAAACTTATCAAAAATTGAACTTAGATGAAATTATGAAATAAAAAGGTTTATTTAAGTGCACGTTGCTAGAAAAATTCAATTTTATTTCATATTTATATTTAAAGTAAAAATTAAATATTTTTTTTCATTAAAGCTGTTACACTCTCCTACATGAGACCCAATTTCACTGAAAGCTTAGTGACAGGTATCTTAGAAATTAGTAAATTCATAAATGAGAAAAAATATATTTCAATTAATTAAATTTTGTTAAAGTTTTTAAATTATAACATGAAGAATAATAAATTTTACTTTTAAGTAAATTTTACATATTGCAAGATATATTTGTAGGATACTTATCCCGTGCTTAATCAAAAAACAAAATTTAGAAAACTCAAATAATTTGGTATTAATATGCAATTAAACTGCTCAAAAGGTAGCAATTTTCTTTCTGTCAAATTTCTTCATTATATTTTAAAATTCTGGAAAATGAGGATTAAACCAATTATATTTGTACAGAAACAATCGCTTTGTGAAAGCATACACACGGAAGAAAAAATCTTAAAATACTCAGTTACTGGGAAAAATTGAGGACTCATTGATTAGGCGATAACATTCCTTAAGTTTTGCTGTTACCCCGCATCAGGCTTCCGTGAAATTCTTTATTTTGTATTTGGCTTATTTAAATGCATATTAGCAAATTTTTTGCCGTCGATTGTAAACTTGTACTTAAAATTCTTAAAATCTCTTACAAGCTAATAAGCTTGCTTACTAGAATTAATATGTTAGGACAACAACTCCGTATCTGCCCACCGTGAAATTCTTTACTTTCCATTATGTCAACTTCTGGTAACCTCAAGTTTAGTTTACCGTTATGCGAATGATATTTGGTTTATTTAAATGTATATTGGCTTAATGTTTTTGCCCCCGATTGTAAACGTATACTAAAACTTCTTAAAATCTCTTACACGCAAATAAGCATTTTTCTACAATTATTATTTTAAGACAGCAAAACTCATTTAACACTGGATATATTGACATTAGAAACACCATAAATAAAACTAACTTACTTCTCATGTTCCTTTTGATATGGCTGATCTAGATTAAAAAAAATGAAAAAGAGTCACACTCATATAAACATAACTTATCAGTTTGAAATTTATTCTAGAACTTTTTTTATTTATTTTGCTTTGACTTTTTATTTATTTACTTATTTGTTGGAAATATTTTACATGTTTTATAGCATTAGTTGCTTTAGATATTAATGTATATATTCTGTATAAAATTTTAAGCAAGTTTGGACAGCAATAAACACTTAATTCATTCTTTTTTTCGCATTCGTAACACTTCTCTTACTGATTGGGGAGATCTCTCTGTTTTGTCAACTATCAGCAAAACACCAACCGATGAGGTGTCCCCGTTTGGTAATAGTTGTAACTTAAAGTATGTTTGTTTGCAAGCTTTATTCAGGGGCAATTAGTTCGATTAGTAAGAGCTTAATATAGTACTTAACTGAAGCATATTATCGTACTTTTTTTTAACATAAATACACATTTTATGCTTAAACTAGGCAATCAAGTATCAGAGTATCCACGTTGGTAATGAGGATGTAATGCAATATTTTCTCTCACATTTATTTTTGTTTAAAGTTAGACTATTAGTTAGTTTGTTTAAGTTAGTTTGTTAGTCTGTTGAAGTTAGTTAGTTAGTTTGTTTAAAGTAAAGTCTACGATATCTTTAAACTTTCAATTTGTTTTAGTTCATTAAGAGCATTACTTGAAATTTATCTCACCTTTAACACATCTCCTTGAACGTATTTTGATTGAAAATGCGATGACTACTATAAGAAGTGCCACAATAAACAAGGCTCCGATAACAATTCCAAATACAGCGGTGAGAATATCTGTTTGATCGGTCAAATCTATAAATAGATCTTTGATGAATACCCAATACATGAATACATATTATCGAAATAGCTAAAAAAAACTGGGTTTTTTATTAATTATAATACAAATCTTGGTTTATAACTACGTTAAGCAGTACTACCACAAAATGGAGCCAATATTTACTCAATAATAACGAATGAAAACTGCATTTATTTTTAACTAATATAAATGTAATATATGAAAGATAAATATTAGGTCAAAATAAATAAGGATAATTTAACAACAATTCGTTTATTCTTAGTCTATGCCTATTTTAATTGTGCAAAACTATATAAAATCCGTATGTGTGTTTCTAAGCTACTGAAACTGCTACTGTTAGTAGCTACTGAAACATGGTTGTTACAACTTAATAGAGAAGAAAAAGACTCCTTTGAAAAAGTTTAAAGTTATAAAGAGCCAAAAGAAAAGAAAACTAACAGTTTCATTTCCCTTAAATAATTAACTGTTTCAATAGCACTTTTAAAAATCTTTAATTTGTATTTTAAGCAAAAAATCTTTCAAAATGTTTATGCTTATAACTGTTAAAATTTAGATTTTTTCTTAAAATTTTGTTTTAATTTTTACCATTTTCACTGTTTTATTATCGTAATATTGATGGTTTAAATGAAAAACAAACTAATTTGAACATGTTTATGTCACAGATTTAAGCCTTTAATTCAATTTAGGTTATAGTTAATAGATTAGTTGAAAATATTCTACTCAAAACCGGTAGCAGACAGATATATATTTTAGTAGAAATTTTAGTCATGCTAAAGAAACCAATTCTTCATGAAATATTCTGATTTCTAACACATTTTTTTTTTAATTTTCAATCACTAAAGTTAGTTATCCTTAACCAAATAATCACAGAAGATACTTTGCAAACGAGAAAGAAATTAGATACATACTATACTAAAAATTTAAATTCCAAAAATATTTATTAAATGGAGTAGAGATCGTAGTTTCGTCTAAATTACAGTATACTTTGTTAAAAATTTCGTTAGACGAAATGATTTGGCAAACATTGTTAAATAATCCCAGATGCTGCTTTAAAAATAAATAGCTCTTTATAGCTTGAAGTTGAAGACACTAATGCAGTAGCAAATTCTTCTATACCCTGCATTAAGTATTTATTTTTCTATCATAAAAGAAATTTTATATCTAGAGTACACATATCCCTTTCCAGTATCTTAGGGGTATTTTTAAGAAAACTAGGAAGATGTTATGGCAGTACGTAAGCTATTTCTTCGTAAAACCTCATTAATGTTTATCTAAGCAATATAAAATGAGTTTAAAATATTGTATAAGATAAATGTTATTTAACGTTCAACGTTTTGTTGTTTATTTACAATTTTGTTTTGCTTCAATTTACAAAGCCACGTTATGATTTAATGAAGAACTTAATTACATAGTTAAATAATAAATTCGAAAATTTTTAAGAATTAATACGGAAATAAGTATTAGACCTTATTGTTTGTTTGACCGTTCAAAAATTAATTAATTGAATATATGTTACGTAAATAACTAAATAGTTTTTTTTTTCTGTTTTTATATCTTTAAAACCAGTTTTAAACATATAAAAACATTTCACTCCTTAAATTATAATCAAACTGTTTTGTTCAGCTATTTTTATTCAAATGTATTTATTTATTTAAAATACTGCATTAAAGTAAAATATCTGAAAGATATTTAAAAAAAAATTGTTAAGGTCATGAAGAATGGATATAAAGTATCGTACACAATTCAAAATTGGATAAAGGCTTTCAAAAATTATTCATCAGTGATTTATTTTTATAGTCAGCTATTAAATAAAATTTTAGTTGAAAATTATGAACATAAATATAAAACAGTTGTTTTTATAACTTTGACAATGTAATAAAAAGCCCATTTTAAGTTTTGCAGAGTTCAATAAATATAAGAAACTCTGAATTAAAAAGAATATTAAGCAAGCGAAGTATCATTTGAGCGAAATATAAGTATGTTTCGTAGATGTAATTTTATATTATTATTTTAAGTTCCGTTAGACATATCTGTTAACTTTACTTATCTGCTAACTGTCTGCTAACATGTCTGCTAACTTCACTGGCTTTTATTCGGAGATTTTTCTCAAATGTTTAAACCGGTAACAAAATTTCTGCTTCAACGTTTGAGGAAAAGGAAAAGAAATACCTCAATAAATCATAAGTTTTTAAGAGATATACATGAAATGTCCCAAATGCTAGCTGTATTTAAGATTATGACGAAATTTTAATGACCTTCGCTCTCTTTATTATTTAACTAATGGGGAGAGCCAGAACTTCCAGATGGACAGTTCTGTATTAACATATGGTAGAAACTTCTACAAGCGCTTATGGAATAAAAAAATTTACCTCTAGAATGTGAAAAAAGTACGAGTATCAAGTTATCAAATTAAATGGAAAGAAAATTAATTGAAAAAATAGATACAAATTTAAATATATCAAGAAATAATGAAAATAATTGTTTTCGATGAAAATCAAATTTCATTTATTAGTTAATTGCTGTCGTAGTATAAGTAAAAGGCAAATAACTGACTAAAAAGTGTGGCCGAAACTACCAGAATATGGTAAACTTTACCGAGTTTCTGGCTCTCTGGAGGAACCAGAATGTTAGATAATTTTTACCGAATCGTTTTGGCAATAATTTTGAATAAAACTAACAGTGAAATTGTTTTATGATGTGTCATAAAAGTTCGTAAAATAGTAGAATTTATGATGATACCTTAGAAATTGGCATAAAAACCATTTATTTGGTTTAATTTACTTTTCAGTTTTGTATTACTCAATGGGTGGTTATAAAAAGTAATATTTTGCAAACCAGAATTTCCGGTAAACTGTTACCATATTAGCCGATAAATTGCTAGATACCAAGTGCGAATTACCAATTTTCTTACCATATATTTTGGTTTCATTACTAACATAAATTAGGCTTTTTTTCTCGAAATATAATTACCATACAATGGGAAAATTGCGGAATTTTTTTGTCCATGCAAACAAATAATGCTCTACACTAGAAATCGCATAAACAATTACCGAACTGCTTAAATTAAAAAACAGTAGTAATAAGATAAGATTAAATGATACCAAGCAAACTTCAATCAAAAGAGATGTTCTACTCTATTTTTAAAATTTGATATTCCCATTTATAATTTTAACATTCGATAAACATTTTCTTAATTCACATAATTTTTTCACTGATGAAAATAGAAGTAATATCTAGGAAGAGCGACAACTTCTGTATGGAACTTAATTAAAGTTATATTTTTGTTTTCACTTACTAAACAAATAAAAGTTTATTATTAGACATGCCATGAAGGATGAAATATAATATCTCACTGTTTGATTTTATTTAGAAGTCTAATTTTCTAGTTTAAGCAAAAGCTTAGAATTCAAGAGAAATTTAAAGTGCAATTCTTGTCTGATGAAGAGAAACGTAGACACATCCCATGTTGCAAATTTTCTTTAAAAGCCTATTTATGCTTTTCTGTTGTTTGATAATCATAAATTTTGAGAATCTGAGAATTCGAAAAAATTAAATCAACATATTGTTACAAGTCAACTGAAAATAAAATTCTGACTCACAAATTATATATATATATATATATT